GGTTCACCAGTCATAATATTCATAGAAATATTATATTTCACCAGTCATTCTGTAAGTTAAATTTTATCGGTCTAAGTTTGGTTCATAGTCCAAAAGACACCAAACATATTGCATTTGGACCATACAATCCAGCAAATCTTACTACTCTTTGTATGATTTTTTTAAAAATATGTGAGGGAACTGTTGTGATATTTTCAAAATTGGACAAATGTCCTTTCAAATGGCAATGGAGAAATGAATGTGGCAATCTTGCATGGAAAAAGTGTTATACACTTGTCATGCTTCAAACCTCTCTTAAAGCCTATAGATAGGCATTCAAATTAGGCATCAACCATCAACAACTTTCCTTTGCCTTTTCGTTCTACACCAGCTTCCCTTGTCTTTCCTTCTCAAAAATTTTGTAGTCTATTTATAGGCACATGTGCATGGATCCATCATGCTGAGGGGAAAGAACGTGGCAAATGCAATTGCCACCTTTCAAAAGCATTTTGCCATTTATCTCATAGCTTCTAGAAGGGCTGCCACATGGTTTTGGTTGACATTTGTCAACAAAAGAGCTTTAAAATATTGCCACAGTAACAATTATGTCGCCGCTAGGGCTTTGGTCTATTGGTAAGATCGAGCACGTCACGGGTTCGAACCCTGTCGCAGATAAAAGCCTAGCATTTAAGTGGAGAAGGGTAGAGGAGCGGTGACCCATTATTCACTCATTTTTGAATCGTGTATCACTGGCCCTCCGTAGAATATTGGTTATAAAAAAATTGTAGCAATTATGTTGAGTTTGATGAACATGGTTGTTGGTACGTTCACGTTACGACCAGTGTTTGCTAGATATTTTTAATAATTACATTTTGTTTGTTCTGGGATTTGTCTGTTATAAAATGTGGTGAACTTCAAATGTTAGAGAACCCCAAAGTATTGAATATTGGAATAGAATGGATACAACTGGAGTCAGACAGATATTGAGGATTCATATAGCCGACTATAACTAGTTTGCAATTGAGGTGTTCTTCTGACAAAAAGGGTTCTAGTTTCTGAATCAGGATGTTTGGTTTTATGCTGTGATTTCTAATGGGTTTCACAGGGTTAGTACATTGCTCGCTCAATCATAGCTGTTGTAACACCTTTTCTTTTTTTGCAGAGGAGTAAGGTAGATCTACCCACTGCTTGGTCTTGGACTATATAAATGGATAAATTCTTTTTTATCATAATGTTAGGAAGTGTATATCACACCGTGCACCTACTGGCCTATGTTTGTGACTTTAAGTTGTCTTTGCTTGTATTTTCTATTCTTTTATAGTTTGGTATCATGTATGTAGTTATGTTGCATTTAAATGTGATTTACTTTTGGAAGTGAATTTATACAGCTAGAAAAGTGTTTAGTGTACATATGCTCTATCCATGTTAATCAATTAAAAAGTGAAAGAAGAATTTGAATTTCACTTTATGTCCTCAACTGTAAATATGTTCTGATGGTAGTTTATAGTGCATCGTATGAAAGCATGCTTCTCGTGCGTATTAGTGTGTTCCTTTATACCTGATGATACTAGCAGTTTTAAAGTTGAATGGGATTTGCAACCCTAGTGTGTGCACCTTATGGCCTATTCGCAGTATCTTGTATGCACCCTAGTGGTATCATTGTTTGATTGCGACTCGCTATGCATAGTTGGATACTGTATTTCCTAAGTCTGATATGTGCATTGAGGCTTGAGCTGTGTTATGCCTATCGTGACTTAAAGAATCTTTCTATTAATTTGCTTGAATAATAGTATAGTGTCTTACTCCCTTTAGATGAGATACGAATAGTTTATTCTCTTACAGAAATGTTACTGTTGAACTGGACATTTCTTCCTTTTCATATTCTTTTCAATGTTCGAAAATTCTTATGGTTGATATCTTAGAGTGTATTTTGGTGCAGCGGTGTAAAACTAGTGTTGGTTTGAGAAACATCCTCTGCTCAATCCAAAAGGAGCAAAAAGGCTGGTGGCCAAGATTATTGAAGTCTGAAGAGAAGCCCGCTCCATACCTCAAGGTCGATTGGAACAAATGGTGTGATGAGGATGATGAAGAATCTTGTGAGTTGGCTGCATATTACTTGCTTCCTTAAATTTCCATAATTTTTTATGGCTATCTTTACGTTAATTTGAGACAGTGAGCAGATCAGAAAACCTAAGTATTTAGTGAATCCTAATGCTGGTAAGCCTCCTGTTGGTTCAGCCAATCTTACTATCATTTTGCTGTTGAATCTTCCTTTAATTTGTAATTCAACTCCATCTTCGCGCTTCCCTCATTTTCTTCTTTTTGTGCTTTGGAGTAGGAGCTAAGTGGCAGGTGAAATATTAGCAATACATTTGATTTTCTTTTCTTTCTACTTCCCCTGCAAGACGTTTCATTTGATTGATCAAAGGCAATTTTTAGTAATTAGACTGCAGGCTGAGTGTATTAAGTCTGACTGTCTCTAATCAGACTTTTCATGCCTGATTAAAGGAGTATGGTTTTTCAAAAAAAGGAAAGGAGTAGAACAGAATGGAAAATCAGAAGAAAGAAGTGAATGAGAAAGTAAAACCATTTTCTTTCTTTTGTCTGGTTTGAGACAAAGTGGGGAAGCAAGGAAGTTTTGCAACCATTTTTCCTTATATTTGACTATTGAACCTGGTGCCAGAAGGACAGTAACCTACTTCTTTCTATATTTTCTTTCTTATTTTAATGGTAAGAGCACATCACTTGACGTATGGGTTAGGCGCTTGTCATAGGTCTGAACGTTCTGGAGACAAAAGCTTGGTATTTAAGTCGAGAAGGTAGAGGGTCGGGCCCATTATCATCAACCTTTGAATCGTGTGCCACAGCCTTTAGGAGTCGATTTTAAAAAAAAGGCAAAGAGGACTTTTTGAAACTTTTCTTTCCTTGTCTTCCTTAGTTTTGAGTCGAAGTGTTAGTTTGTCTAAAAAAGTTTTGATATCGGAGAAATCCCTGAGAGCCGGTGGAACAAGGTTCGAAACTCAAAGGATAATAGGTTCACCTCTCTATCATTTTCCACTTATATAACAGGCATTTACCTACGGTCCGAACCTGTGACTTGTGCCTAACCCACACATAACGCGATGTGCTCTTACTCCTAGACGGAAGTCCAGGGAACTTAGTTTATCTAGAATTTTGATTCTGCAATTGATATAGTTGGTGAATGTAAAATGATAATGTGCTCCGAGATTAGGCATGCAGGTTTGCACTTCCTACTTCCCAAGATAATTTGATTTTTGAACACCCGGTTGATCCAGTTACTAAATTTCATTTCATCACTTCCCTCCCTCTTCCTTTCTCCGTCCATAGTGATAATCAACTCTCTCTAGTTAGTGCTCTTTTACAGCTGTGTATCAATAGCAATGAACGATACCATCTTACCTACTTACTTCCTGCTTCTCTCTCTCTCTTCTACTTTGGGAAGAACTGAAGCTTTTCAGCAGTTGGCACTAACTCACCTTCTCATGTATAACCATACGTGTTATTTCCTATTATACTCGTAGACTAATCCAGATTTCTGTTCCATGCAGCGGACTCTGACGATGATGTTGAGGTAATACCTACCCTATCTAGTTAACTATTACATGCAACATAATGTTCAATGACTTTGATCATAGTTATTTGACTTGAATGTATCTTCTTTTAGTACACTGGAGAAGATGATGAGAGCAGCGATGATGGAGGAATGCTCTGTGAGTTACTTCCTATCTGATTGCACGAATATAGGGATAGCTTTTAATTTGTTGTATATGTCAGATGCAATGTTAAGTTTTCCAGTCAACTCTTCTTACCCTTCATCAGTGCACTCCTGCTCTCAGATACTTGTCTAGGTCTCATTTCCTTTAACAGAGGGATAACACCAACTTCTCGCTTCTCATTTTCTTGCTTATATGAGCAATTTTTTATGCTCGGATGACATTGAAGAGACACGGAACTTAAATAGTTTGAACGGGAGAGGAACAAGGAGTATAAGGCTCGCTAATGTGGAAGTTTATGTCCCTCTATCTCTCTTTTCTTTACTGCCACAGGGTCTCCTTTCCTTTATCCTTTCTTGTTCTCTATTTCTTTTCTTCTAAGCAGCATTTACTGGTTGATTTTCTCCAGTATTTTAATTATCTACTTGCGTGAAAACAAAAAAAATTTCCATGTTTGCTTGTTTGTTTGCTACATTTGTTTCAATATTCTAACTTCCCCTATCCAACCTCCTTAGCTAGTAGAAGCAAGTTATTTAAAAGGAAATGGAATTTTCTCAGTTGTGACATTAATTCGTCTCTTGATTGCAGATCTTCCGGACCTGGAAAAGGCTAGGGGAAATTGAAACCAGCTGCTGAAAACTTTGGAAACAGGCTGATCACCAGATGTGTTTAGGATTTAGTCTTTTAGCAAACAAAATGTAATGACTTTCTTGCTGAAGTATTCAGATGTATAGAGGTTGTTGGAAGACTGATTTTAACCAATGTATATACCTCAGTAACTTTTGTCTTGTTCCACCCTTTCAGAGAAAGAGTACTTAGTTTCTCTAATTCTTTGCTTTCTTTTCCTTTCAATTTTTCGTGGATGGATTTAGTTATTAAGGCTTGGAAAATAGATTGTTAACCTCTCAGAGTATTTTCATTACGTCAAAGCAACTTTCGTACTAAATATAAATTAGGGAAGATGTTCAAATGTACCACCTGTACTTAATATAACCGAGCCCTTTCAACTAACAGAACATAGAACTTTGTGCTATCTATAGAGTTAACTAAAGATGAGGTTCAACTAGCTCACATTTAGCAAAGCTACACTATAACCAAGTTGTGCATCTAACATATTTCTATCAATAATAAGTGCTTCTTCCAACATAAAGTAGAACAAAAGATGTTGATCCACATGGAACATGTACATCTCCCAATTGAACTTACAAAACAACCGATCAAAGCTTCAGCTTAATCTAAATATAAGAGTCGTAAACTTCAGGTTACCCCTCTCCCTTCGTTTTAATACACCTGGAAACATACAATAACTTCATTTTTAACTTGTCTTGAAATCATTCATACTGGAATGCTTACAGTAACTGAATGGAAACTACCAAAACTATGTCGTCTGCATAATTCCAAGTTAAAACTATAAAAATGTACATACAAGGAAACTTATCTAGAGAAGTAGAGACAGCCAAGGGCAATCTCCTGAACAAAGATGTTAACCGAGAACAAGGAGATGGACGGGATAATGACTAGCTAACATAAATTTCAATGACATAACGAACACTATGCATCTACATATTCATCATACATGAAACTGGATGTTAGAAAGGGGCGGAGCTTGTTCTACGCAGCTGATACTTAGGCTCTGGAGGTGGAACACTTGGTAACACCTTCTCTATCTCCTGCAAGTAAAACCATGTTAACCTAATATTCAGTGAAACTGATAGCTAAGAAGAACGAGAATGGAGGCAAAAAGGAGTAGTCTCAAATACTTCCTAATTTTTAAAAGACAACAAACCATCAAGAACTAACAATTATTTTGCTATTGAATGACATATATGCCATTTTAGTCAGCACAAGTGACTTCTGAGAAAGCATTTCAAGGATTAAATCGGAACATCTTTCAGACAGAAAATAAGGAAGACCATGGGAAACAGGGAAACATGAATTTTGCTTTCGAGATGGCCAAAATCCGAGAACTACATAGGGTCTTAGACTCGATTCCTTGAAAAGAGGGAGAGGGGTTATGTAGGCAGTAGTCGTTCAAGAAATGTAGCGGTTGCTCGACCAAAGCCGGTCAATAAGACTGATCCGGATCCTAGTGCTTTCGAGATGGTTCGATAGATAGCAAAGATAGGGAAAGAGCAGACTTCCAACAAGCATTAGCTCTCCCTGAAAAGGAGGTGATCCAGCCACACCTTCCAGTACGGCTACCATGTTAGGACTCACTGTATTCTGTTCCAGAACTTTGCAGCGTGTCTTATGTAGCACAAAGTTATGGGGTTGGTTCAATTTGTTAAGATATCAATCAGTCTAAAAGATCTTCCCTCTGCACCAACCCAAGAGTCTCAGCTAACGGTCACCTCAAAGTAGTGTTAGTGTACAAAGACCATGATTTCAGTTGCTTCTCTTCTTTGCCAGATTGCACTATACCCTGATGGGCAAACCAAAAGATAAACACATGTGGAAGAAGACATGGAATTCTTTTCTTTCATTGGTGAATAGGTGTCAGCAAGAAGCAGTTTACAGTAAGACAAGATTCTCATGCCATAAATGAGCTTACATAGGAGAAGTTACTCATGCTAATCATTACTCATTACTTAAATAGGAAGTGTTGAACTTTTCTCAACGAAAATATCATGGTGGCTTTGAAATATTACAAGATTGCATGAACATTAGGCACAATTGAAACGGATTGTGATCTCTATCAGTTTCATACAAAATGCTTGGTTGTCGAGCTTCCCCTCCTATTTCATGAAAGAAACAAAGGATAAATGTAAGAGTTTGATACTTTCACACCCTTTAATTTGACTTAAGGTGCTGTCTGGATTTGATTTGGTTTAATTTTTGCAAACTAGTATATGTAAAAAGATTTTTGGCAAAATAACTTGGGGGACAAGTGTGTTTAATTAGTTTTTGACAACATGTCTTTGAAAATCTTTTGAGTTAGTTTAGTGTGTTAGTATAGTGAAAACCTACCATTTGGTGTTCTTGATTTTTGAAAAACTTATTGTGGGACACCGGAACCTGCTTTTTAAACAAAATGGTGTATCTTTTTTATTTTTTCGATAAATACATCCTACAACCCATCTTTGAATTTCTCTTTTTGATAATTGAGAAATCCCCGAGGGCCAGTGCCACACGGTTTGAAACTTGATGGATAATGGGCCTGCCCCTCTATTTTCCACTTAAATATCAGGCTTTTGTGGGCGGCAAGGTTTGAACCTGCGACAAGCACCTAAGCCACACATCATGCTATGCGCTTTCACCACTAGACCAAAGCATTGGGGGCCACCCATCTTTGATTTTTAGAAAACATTTTTAGAAAAAATTATCCAAACATGACATCCCTGGATTTTACTTTGACATTGTTTAAAGGGGCGAATTTTATGATTTTTATACACGTAAGTTTGCGGAAAGCTTAGTAGTGGTTTGGACAATAGCATAACTAAGAGAAGATACCTCCTCCATGTCACCAAATTACATCCTCGTCATGATGAAGTCCAAAATTCTTAATTCATGTGATCACAAGCCTTCTTAAGGTCCAACTTGCATAAGATCCTTGGCTCTGCCTTCTTGAAATTCCGAGATGGTCTCCAACAGCTCTCTCTCAATAGGTGATCAACAATGCAGGAGAAGAAAAAGCAATGTGAATTCATTTGATCCCAGGGCTTTGTCTCCCCCATCACCTCCCTCATCTCCTCTTATTCTATAAGCCTCTCCAACCAAATCCCTTATTCCTCTCCAATTTGAAATTCCAGCCCCACAGGTCCCACAATCGATAGAGGATGCTT